AAAAATAAAACAATGATCAATTTTGCGTAATAATAATCTTTAACTTTTTTATTGTACTATTAAAATATAAAAAAAATTACAAATTAAAAGAATTTGAGTATGAAAAAGTCATTGGATTTTGAATAGGAAGAAGAATTTATGAAGCTATTAATCATATTTTAAAATTCTAAAAAGTACTATTACAAATACAATTTCTCAATACAAAAATCTCAATAATAGATTAACACTAAAAGAATTAGAAGATCATATTCTATAAATAATAATGATCATTATAACCTTTCAAAAATTATCAAAAAAATAATTGACTTTCTCTTAAAGAAATTTAACAAAATTTAAGTTTACAAGATAAAAATATTTCAGCTATAACCATTCGTAAAATCTTCATCAAATAGAAATTAATTCACAGATTTCTATGCTAAAACTATTTCTTACTAAAACATAACGTAAAAATTGATTTTATAGTATATAGAATAATAAGATTAGTCAATTAGACAATAGAAAACTATTATCTAGAATGATAAGTTCAGATTTATCTTTTTTAAAATAATAGTCCTATTTGTATTTAACAAAAAGATAAAATTTGATATAACATTGAGAAATTAACACTAACGATTAAATATAGTGAAAGAAGTATTATAGTATAAGAATATTTTTCAGAAAAAAAATTAGGACCATTGGTAAAAATAGATAGTAAAATGAATAGATTTGATTATATTGATATTTTAGAAAAAAAATTTATTATCATTTATCTCTTCTAAATATTATAAACAACCTTATGCATTTCAGAATGATAATGCTTCTTTTCATACTGCAAGAATATCAAAAATTGGATTATACAGAAAAAGATTAAGATTCTTTCAGATTGGCCTTTTCAATCTCTAGACTTTAATCCTATTGAATATTTGTAGCATGAACTAGAATGAAGACTTTGAAAATGATCAGAATATTCAAAAAATTTATATGAATTCAAAAAGCATTATAAGAAGAATGGAAAAAAATTTCATCTAAATCTTATATTAATTTAATTGAAAGTATACCATGTCAGATAAAAGTATGTATTGAAAGTCAAGGATAGCTAACTAAATATTAAAAATTTATAATATTATAATAAATATAATTTTTAAATTAATTAACCAGATACTTTTGATAAGATAGTATATATATTAAATAATAATAAATATATTTTATTTGATTTAATTTTATTAATTTATTAATAAATATATTAGTTAAATAAAGTAGAATATTCATACATAGTAGCAATGATAAGAGATTATCTTGCAATTGCAGGTAAAAAATTTTATTTATTTTAATATTATTAAATATTAGCTAATAAAATAATTTTTAATTTAGCTATAAGTATTTCAGTAAAACAAATCTAGTAGCAAAAAGAAACAATTTCAAAAAAAAATATAATTTATACCTATATATATTTGTAGTCATAGTAGAAGTAAGGAGGATTTAATGAGAATATATTATATAATTTTATCATAATAAAACTTAATCAAAATCATTGTCTTGCTAATTATAAATAAATTTGTTAAAAATTTTATTTGATCTGAATTATCTGATGGTTAAATAAAACAGAGTTGAGTTATATAAATATTAATCTAAGTATTTGTATAGGTTAGTATTTATAAATGAATTGAGTTTGAGTACATCCTCAAATTCAACTTCAGAATACTAATTATGACAAATCTTATCATATTTAATAAAAAACAAGGTCTTTCTTTATTAAACTTTCTTTATTGATCAGATAATAAATAATTGGCTGATTTTGCTAATATTATAAAAAAAAATTTGAATTATAAATAAAAATAATAATTAAATAAATATAAAAATAATATAAAATATTACTTATTCAATTAATTACGCATTAAATAAAATTATAAGTTTTGTTTCAAAGTTAGTTTATTTAATATTTTCTGTTAAATTATCTCGTAATAATTTTATACTATATAAGGACAATGATAGATATTACTTAATATTATATTAATATAAGCGCTTACTCCCCCTCCTCTAGGTAAGATATGCTGTGAAATCACATAATATAATTTTTTATATCTGATAAAATAAAGTTAATAAAGTGATCAAAAAAAAAGTTTATTATAATTTATATAGTGAGATGATTATAGTTTATATAGTTTATTATAATCTATGTAGTGATAAATAAAAAAAAAAGATCATAGTTTATAGAAGTTTATAGTCTAAATCTAGAAAATTTAAAAGAAGTTAATTTATTAAGAAAATTCATTTATTAAAAAAAAACAAAAAAACAAAAAATTCATAAAAATCCTTTCCAAAAATTAGCTGCAGATTTTATTTAACATTTGCAAAATTTTAATGCGCTTATTTCACATTTAACTTGCAAAAATTCTCTTCTAAATATTAAAAATGAGCTGTCAAACATTTTTTTTAGCTCTAAATTTAATAAAAAGCCAATTTATAATTTATCAACTAATAAATATCAAGAGTTTATAAAGCCTATATGTATAGTATTATGGTAAAAATAAGTAATCATACTTCTAATTGTGCTGACGTTTGTCAAGAAGCTATAAATGAGTAGAATAGTATTAAGAAGAAGAGTGTTGATGATATTAATGGTATAATTTAGAACTATATAGCCACACCACTTAATCTATATGACATACAATCAATGAGATATAAATGTTCTATACCTAGAAAAAAATCAAATCCTTCCTCCCCTTCCATCATTCGTTTAGTAGACCTTTTACCAGAAATTCCTGCTAATGCTTCAGCTCAAAAAAAGAGCAGCAGATGCAATTCAAATCACTAAAAAAAATATTTATGAATACAAGCAGATTTATAATATTACCAGTGATACTCAGATTCATAATAACATATACCAAAAAATAGAAAACTTGCGAGATGAAGTTAAATCTAATAAAGATAGAATTGCTAAGTTAAAAAGAAATGTCAAATATGCTCAAAATTGTAAGGAAAAAAAATTAAGACAACTTATCGAAAATCATGAGGTTGTCCGCTATGATAAACCTGAAAAGCTACCGTTTCTCTTCAAACATCCAGATCTACATGAACATATATACGATTGCGTAAAATTTAGATCGACTGATGCAAAATGATGAAAAGAGGCTGTTAAAGTTCAGATAATAGAAAATCTGCGTAAAAATCTTGAGGAAAGATACGAAGTTTACATAGTGAGGACTACATTAAATAATTACCTTTTATCTCACTAATCAAACTTAATCACTACAAAAACGCATTACCACCCAGCATGGATTGCAGTTTCTGAAGTTTTACATACTGAGATGCATAAACATTTTGATAGCTATTATTGCCTCACATTGGTAAAGTATGCAAAGCAATTCGCTAGCACTTTTGCTGATATGTCAGTCGTCATCTTTCAAGATGACAAAGCAAAAATCAGACTTGAGATACCTGCGGTAGGTCATACATTTCGTATATTTCAATCTATTAACGAACCTACGACTATAGCAGATCATGATTTTCCTATTGGATTTGGATAAAAATTAATCCCATCAGTATATTTGATGATAAACTCAAACGAATCTAATGATGAATTGCAAACAGAAAATTAGCAATTTTTATACGTTCCCAATTGTCTTTTGACACATTTTCATTTACACATATGCAAGACCTAGAAACTTTGCTTCAAATTCTCAATATGATGATGTGCTGAAAATAAATAGAACAGTTTGATCAATTTGAATTTTATGATAAACGGAAGGCCAGATGAGAATCCTAGACATTTAAAAAACATCAAAGCTTATTGTCAGCTTTTCAAGAAGTTCGATTTAGATTTTTTAAGCATACGAATACATGCTTCAAGTCAGTCAAAGTATAATCTAGTTAAAAGAGGCATGGCAACATTGTCTGGTAAACTTGCTGGTATTACTTTACTAATTGATCATTTTGATGTACATTTGAATACACAAGGCAAAGTTATAGATCTGAACTTACCCGCTCAGAATTTTTGTTATTCAGGAGAAGCCTTCTGTGAAATTTGGTGTTGTGATTTGATCTTTGGAAAGAAGGTTGATGCTTGTTATGTTGATATACTCACGAATTTATTTGAGCATATAGAGTTCGAGGGAATGAAAAAAGAAAAGGTTAAAGAATTAAAAAGGAGAAAAAAGGAAGAACAAAAAAATCAAATGATATAAATAAAGAAGTAACACATATTCATTCTGAATGTTTTGTACCATAGTTTTAGATCGAAACCTACTGTAATTTGTGCATCTATTCTCTTGATATTAAATGATGTATAAATACCAGTTGCTGTGAAATACCTAGAGCTAAAGAAGCTATAGACTTTCTTCATTTGTATAATGGTTTCTTACCACTAATTATTAAAGTCAAAGATGATTGATTTACAAATCCGATTCATCTTCTTCAGTATGAAGATCTCTTGAAAATATCAGATTATGATGCTCATTATGTATCTATTGAAAAGAATACATACCTACAACTTTGCTGTCCTATTTATCAAAAGTATTTTCCTACTCTTACATTTTTAGCAAATCATAAACGATTTATGTACCCTACTACTTGAGAATGGCCTAAGAGAACAAAACTCATCTTTCGACAATTTTTTTCTTCTTTCATCTCAATAAAAGAGATCATATGATGAAATGGAATTTGAACTAAGAGCTTGCAATTCAGATGGAGAATGAATAAATTTTACGTGTATGCGGCCTAAATGCATGGCTTAAATGTATGCTAAATGTATGCAATAATAAATTTTGCTAAGCCACTTTATCAAATGATTTTTACGTGATCAATATTTTATTACGTGCTATTGCTTATTTATTATCACGTGATTAGATTATTAAGTATAACCTAAGATCTTCATTAATCCACCCCCTAAGATATTAGGTAATATCTGTCACTACCCTAATCACCTTGGATTGTTATTTTTAAAGGTGTAGAAGAATTTAGCCATGATATTTGATATTTGACATTCTAGTATGCTTTATTTTGACAATTCGATAAACATTCTCCTATGCTGCCACTCTGATAATTGTTTCCATCTCCAGAGCAATATAATACCCTATACAAGCATTTTCTGTCTTTTTTTTTTTAATTTAAGCTGAATTTCTTGTAATAATTCTTGTCCCTTTAGAGTTAAAATTATCATATCATCTACTCTGTTTGTGGATTTTACAGCACCCCGTTTTGTTTTCCATTCTAAAAAGTCAATAGCATCTGTGGTACGTCTAACTTCAATGAGTCCTGCTGTGGAGTTTTTTGTCGACTTTGATGTTTTAAGCGGCATACCTAAGCATGGGTACATTATTGATATACCACTCTGTTGTACGACCAAAAGGTACATTAACTGTGCCGTCAGGATTGTATTTAATTAATACTATCTCTATAGATATTTTCATTTATATTATGCATTATAAAATTTTGTTTTATTTATGATTTAAAATACGTGTTTTACGACTTATGAGCTACGAGGATAAAAATTTATTAATAAAATATTTTGCTATTATTACTCCTGAATAATTGGTTACACAAATCAACTAAGGTGAATTTATCGAATCAAAAAAGGTACATTTGATGAATCAAAAAGTCCGCATGCCGAATCAAAAACGATATATTTGCCATGATACCAGGTACTCCAGAAAACGTAAATAATTTGACCAATTTAACGAACGAGTTCATTTATTTTGATTAGTATTTAAAAAAAATTATAAGTATCATATGAGCAATGTATTTTTCCCAAAGTTATCAATATTTTTCTTTTGATTGATAAATATTACAATACTTAAAATTTCAAAAAAAAAGAACGCAACTCATTTCTTTATCATTTAAAGAAATGTTTTAACAATCATTAAGAAATTCAAAAGTTAATTAATTAATTAGTAAATATTATGAATACATTTATTTCAAAATTTTATCTAAAGAGATAAAAATTTACCCTTTGTTCATTAAAATTTAAAAATAATGAAATTCAATATAATCAAATAAATTAATCGATCGTTCTCTTTTTTAACTTCTTCGATTCTGTTTTACTCTTTCACATCTTTCACTGGTAACTCAATTATGGCCTTCCAATCATCCCATTCCCTTTGAGTAGTCGGAAAACCTTTTTCAGCACGAATCAATTCTTCGGTAACCAATTGATTGTCGATTAATCTAACGATATATTGAACCGGATTAGGTTTGTCATCATCCGAAGAATCTTCATCTCCAGCATTTAAAGAATGCTTCTCTAAAGAAAGTAAATAAAGAAATATTTTTATTTTAAAAGGAAAATATATATATATAAAAAAAACTTTATAGTTAATAAATTTAATCAACCTTGACCAACTTCATAAATTTTCATGGATAAATGGGAAGCATTTGTCCAAACAATCGAATAAAATTTACTTGGGTTATCATACTCTAAATTAACATTTTTACATTGATCAATTTGTACGGTTTGGACTTGAGCATTTAACTATATATCAAAGAAAAAATGTTTTAAACCAAAAATTCATCATAAATAAATAAATTAAGAAAATGTTAAATACGTTAATATTAATCCCATCAGATTTCCAGACTTCAATAATAGAAGTAAGAATTTTCTCATTGACGGTTAATTTTAAATTCTTGCAATCCTCTACCAAAAAAAAAGACGGTTAAAGAAAGATAAATATATAATATATATATATATATATATATTTTTAAAAAAAAGGGAGGTTACCAATCATAATCTTGGTACAAACACTATTGACAACATATTCCATATCTTCGCATAACCTCAAGAATATGGTGGAATTAGAAGAAATTGAAGTGTCATCTAAATATTTTACTTGAGAGCTTTCATGTTCCTAAAAAAAAAAAATTTTTTTTTCCAATCTAAATAAGTTTTTTTTTTTTTAAAAAAAAAAGAAAAAAAAAAGATATTTACAAAAAATTGTCGTCGAGTTAGTAATTGACTAACTAAGTTAGGGTTAGGAATTGGTGGTTGTTGCGGATGAGAAGACATATTTTTTCACTTTATTGAAATAAACTATCAGATGACAACACAATACAAGCTGAACGATTTGACTGCAAGACCTTTTCTTTTCATCAGAATATTTATAGGTTATTTACGCCAAGTGAACCAACGATTAGTCAACTCCGATACTTCCGATTACTCTTGGCGCGCAAAAGAAATCGGCAATTAATATAAACAGAAATAGGTAAAAAAAAAAAAAAATTTTTTACTGTATATATTTATATTATATAAAAAAATAAATATATTTCTATATTTATATGAATTTTAATTAATTCTATTCGGTTAGGGATTCCTAGTTTTGATTGGCTTAGAAAGAATTATTAAAATAACTATCAGATTGACCACCACTTTGCCCACTTTGCCCGCTTTGACCACCTCCTTGACCACCTCCTTGACTACCAGGGGGATAATATGGTTGTGGACTAGGTAAACTAATATTACTTGAAGGCGGAGGCGGACCACCTGATGATGGTGGTGTGTTTCGAGGAGGGGTGCGATGATGGGTTGGTGTTGAGCTTGGTGCCGGATACGTTTTAGTCAAAGTATCACCTGTACTAAGACGACCACGATTACTTGATGCCACCAAATCAGCGGATAGTTTTTCAGCAAAAGCCCTTTCCGATTCCCTTCTTTTCTTTCTTTTGTATAATTTGTACAAAAGCATTCCTAATAACCCAAAAGATACTACAAATAGTCCAATTGATAATATCAATTTTACTTTTGATGGAATCCCAGTAGTTGGTGGTGGTGGCCTATATATTATTCGCAAGGAAGAGTTAATTACAAATAATTTTTTTTTTTAAAAAAAAAAAAAATTCGTTTATTCGGAGGGAAATGCTTACGTTTCTTGAGTGTATGTGACACCGAATGATTTGCATCGATTTTCGTATTGTTCTAAAGGAGCAACTTCAAATTCTTTCCCCGTTGTATTAACGAAACATTCCACACATGCTTCCAACATGTTGTAATACGGTTGATTACACATACATCTCGCCAAACTAAAACCTAAGTTTATTCAAAAAGAATGTGCTTTGTTGTAGTTAATGAGGAATGAAGGAAAGTAGAAAAGAAAGAAAAAAAAAATGAATGAATTAACTTACTATCTGGTTGGTAAGTGCCGTTATGAATATCTTTCTCGATATATTTGTCAGGGGTCACCATAACCCCATTACATAACCTTAAAGTGTCATTAACATTTCTACACGCACTATCAGGTGCTGTGCAACTTTTTATAGTCGTTTCTTTATCTTCTTTATTTTCTTTATGCGATACGTGTGTGGGTTTAGATTCTGTAGACGTTATGGTTATTTCGTTAACCGTTGGACTTGGTGTGTCTTCTGGCTCTTGCGCGATTACTACATTTCCCACCACCACGTATAATAATATTATAAAGCATACAATTACATGATATTTCCTAAATGTCATTATTATATTATATTATCAGAATATTATATACAGTTGAATGAATTCTTCTAATTCTATCGATTATTGAAAAAAATTCTATCGAATCAAGACTGCTTTTAGGATTCCTTTTTTCGTTTATTTTTTTATCTTTTATAACGTCAAGTAATAAAAGTATTTTTTTTTTTTAAAAAAAAAAAAAAAAGAAAATTTGAAGCAAAAAAAAAACCACCACAATTTTTACTTTACCGATTAAAAAATTACATACAGGACGTTTATATATAATTTAATTTAATATATACACATTGTTAACTAAACTATCATTTATTTTATTTGGCTTAACATTTACGGATCAAAGGAGAAATTGTTACAAACATGATTAATTACTAGGCCACGACTTTGTATCACAAAATAAATTAAAATACCTTTCCGTATATATTTTTTAATAAAAAAAAAAGCCACCGTTCGATTATTTTTTCCTTCAATAAAAGCCTTCTGTTACTCAACAAAGGTGATCATTTTAAGATCCTTTTTTTTTTCTTTGTTTAACAAATCATTTTGATTCACGTCTTTCTCACGCAACGGGTACGTGGCGCAGTGTTCGATACCGTTAATTCAAAGGTTTAAAAAAAGCCAAGCTTCCCGTCAATAATAATATCACACATAGAATTTGTAATTATAAAAAAAAAAAAAAAAAAAAAAAAAAAAAAAAATATCCGGATTAAAACAACACATTTAAAATATTACTCAAAACCCTGCGGGACTGTTTCCCCTCATCCTAATTTTGTTTTTTTTTTTTAAATCGATAAATAAAGATGCATAAATTACACATCATGAACAATAATGAGATATGCACAAGGAAATTACATGCAGGAGGGAAGGAATCCATGGTTTTAATTAAAATCGTCATTTGTCAATAAAGTATTGAAATCAAGAATCTATTGTGATGCATAGTATGTCACATCATCATCCACTCGTCCAGCCTATCGGGAAAGCATGGGTTCGGGCTCTTGTTTGTTATCTCAATGATTGTTGTGATCATTAAAATTTATAAAGTTCTTCGTGTCACCGACATTTTAGGGGTCATTATAAAACTTTAATTTAATGTGAAACAAGAAGAAAATTTGGTAGATGCAAACCATTACCTTGTTGGGTAAATTGTTTCCAAAAGTCATAAAATGTTTAATTTATTGTACATGAAAGAAATTTGGAGACATCATTCTCAAAGGGTTAAATTTATTGCCAAGGAATGTCCTAAAATTAATTAAATTATTTTAATTTCGACCGTTTCGGTTGTCAGAAATAAAGCTAGTCGGTTAACACTAGTTGCTTTGAACCTTCTAAAAAGAATTGGACGTATTAAACTGCGTTCTGAAAATTAAATATATCATTCATTTGTGATGATAATCGGTCAAGCTGAAGGCTTGGAATCACTTGCCGTATTATAGTTGAAGTTGAATCAAATCGGGTTTTTTTCTCGTTTCGCTACATTTCATCTCATCTTCAAACTTCCAATGACTTGCTTCTTTTGTTGTAAAGGATTATCATATATGGTTAAATGGAATTATCCGTTTACGAGATAAATTATTTACATAAAATATTTAACAATCTTTTTTTATTTTATTTTACATTTACATATTATTTTAGTTCATACACACATATATATACAAACTATTTAATCATTCAGATATCATGCAGGATATCGTTGATAAACGTATGGTTGCGAAAGAGCGTTACCACCACCACCACCATCACCAACAATAACGTTAACGTTATCAGAATATTCGTAACTCTGTCTGGGAGCTTGTACTTGTGACTGACTTGCTTCCACATAATATTCTTGCGGTCCATACGTACCAGTATTGACGAAAGGATTATTCTGATCTTGCAATTGTTGCACCTCACCCTGTTGAGGTTGATGAGCTAACGGTGGCGGCATGGGTGCCGCGGGTGAATATAATTTTTCATCATTTTCATTCACAACGTTCCTTGTTCCGATTTCAATCCCCCTTCCTCTGTTTTTTGGATATGAATAAAAATCCGTTTTCAATTTTTCATAGGCCCGTGACTTCTTCTTGTTCTTTTTAAAAGCAAACAGACAGAACAATAAACTTGCCAATAATACTATCAACGAACTAATACCTAACGCAAGTAAAAGTTTATTAGGACCTTTCTTGTTGCTAGAAAAGAAGAAGACAATAAATTTAATTAGAGAATAATAAATATTAAAAAAAAAAGTGAGGGAGAGAAATTCAGCAATAACACTTGCCCTTGTCCTTGCCCTTTTCCTTGTTCTTGTTCAGTATCTAACTGTTGGTCGATAAATTCTACATTCTGAGCTTTACAATCATTTTTATAATCTTCCAACGGTCTAATCATTGTTTCAACGTTAGGTGGCAAAGATAAACACGTCATACAGCTTGATATTAAATCATAGAATTTTTTATTACACCAGCATTTTGCTTCATGGGGTTCTACGTAATAAAATTCACATAATGTTTTTTTATAAAATTTCCCTCATTTCAAACTTCTCTTGTGTATTATTATAATGCTTACCATCAACCCAATACATGAATTCATCATCATCAGAGTCAGGCCGAGTTAATGTTTCATTACAAGGTTCTAATAATTTGTCAACCTTGTTACAAGGATTGTCCGGAGAAGAATCTTGGCAATTTATATCGCCTGTTTGAGCAAAGGATAATCTGATTAATTCATCTGAAAGGAGAATTAACATGAGAGTTACAATCAGGGATGCTGATAACTTTCGGAATGTATACATTATTATTTTTTTAAAAAAAAGAAAAATCCGTCTTTTTAGACAGAAAAATATTTTCTCAAAAAAAAATTTAAAAAAAGAAAATTATCGCTAGTTTTTTTTTTTTTTTTTTTCCTTTATGCTATAGTATTTTTGTCATGGCGAACCTTCCATCTGAACTCGATTAGTAAATAAAGTTTGACGATCCGACTTTATATTTTATTTACACTTGATTTTCAAAGGTTTCGCAATCTTAATTTAGAGTTTATTCTACTAAAAATAAAAAAATTCAAAGAATTCAAAAATGAAAAGGTGGGCTATTATGAGATTATTGGGTAATTTGATTTACTATCATGTTTATACAAATAATGACATACACTCAAATGCTTCATTACGTAATCCCCATAATGAATTCCGCATTTATATTGATTTTTTTCTCACAGTAATTAATTCTGGTAATTTGTGAATCCGATTTAAAAAATTTGTACAATGTATTTCTAGATATGCATCTCTTGCGTTTTTAAGATTATCTCATTTTTCTCAATTTCAATTCGTAAATAATGTGAATAATTGAATAAATGTTTAAACCTATACCAATAGTTTTTTTTTTCAAATTTTTTTTTTTTTGGACGAGTTTGGTAAGACGGGAAAATGTGATTGAATTTCCGGAAAACAAGGATAAATGTCTCCTTTTTTCAATCATGTAGGGCGCAAATTGATTTATTAATAGAACACGATAGAAATTATTTATAGTCGAAATTAATTTAAGTTAAATAAAATATATACGATTTGATTGGTCATTTTCATTTTCCGATCCGGAATTTAGAAATTAAAAAAAATTGACTCGGGAACCAATTATATTTACCGCACAATAACAAAGTTTGTTTAGAAGTTAAATAAATATTATGCATTTCTTTGCCATTATTGTTATCCTTGGATAACTTCTATTATCTTCAAACTCTCCTTTGGTCTGTAAAAAAGTTAAAAAAAAAAAAAAAAAAATTATTTTATAGATTTTTTTCTTTTGGTCTTAGCTGATTAAAAAAGATTTACCCGATTCTTCTTCGAACTTTACAGCATGTGAAGTGATTGACTCATTCTCCAAACTTCTTTTTATCTTTGCACATCTTATATTATTACCACTTAAAAGCCTACTCGATAAATCGCTCCTGAAATATTTGTTACCGGACGTTTCATTAATAACTGTCGTATTCTTCTAACATACTCTTTTCTATGTCAGCAGTTACTTGGATCAGGATCCCAACACTTTTACATTAATTCAATGTAACCTTCAGGTGCATTCGTAACAATTGGAGGACGTAGACCATCGCAAATATCTACGATAAAATCTGAATTATGAATTCTATCCCAAAAAGGCCTTCTACCTGTCATGAATTTCCACATGATTATGCCGAAACTATAAACATCCGAAGCCGTGGTATATTTACTTCTTGAAAAATCTCCGGGGCGACATAAGTTATGACCCCATAAATCCCATCGTCGATTTTATTGAAGATTTGCTTAACCCAAAGTCGCATAATTTTTGGAAATATACCTACTTTGTCCATCAGAATGTTCTCACTATGGAAATCTCGGTGAACCGTTCTCGTATCATGAATACATTCGAGCCCTCCTATTATATCTCAGTTTGTCCAATCGGTTTCCCAACTGATATTATAAAATTCCTTGATTATAAAACCATTCAAATCACCTAATTCATAGTAATCCATAATTAGCATAAAGTCCTTTGTGGTAGAATCTTGGGTAATTCCATAACACTTGCTCATAAAAATAAGTTGAATGTGTCTCATTCGATTTAAATTATGATCATAGAATTGCTTTAAGCTGAATTTACGAGAGAAAACATATGATGATCTTTTTTTAAACGCTCCATTCCTTTCCAAATAGGCAGGTTACAAAAAGATTTTATTACCTGATTCAATTTCTTAAAAGTGATGCCTTCGGAATTAAAAGTTTTTGTGTCAGGGCCACCCCGTTTAAAATTTCGATTCTTGTCCTAATATCGAATATGACCATCAATCCAAGTGGCTTTATAAAACCACCCTTCGGCAACGAATTCTACATCTCTGAACTGATCGTAGGGAACAAATTCCAATATTCTGACCTATTGTGCTTGATGAATCATACACCGATCTATTCCCACTTGGTTTATGTAAATGATTTTGATCTATAACAAATTCGGCAAATCTTGTGACCTTCTTCTAGTGGTCTCCTCCTTTTGTTCTCATAAATCGTTTTATGTTTGATTTTCCTCCTTGTCCGTTCAAACATTTTAATGTCTACCTTTTTGGCATGATAAAGCTAATCATTTATATAAAAACAATGGTGTTCCCGTTCCAGTTTCACAGGAAGAATTCTAAGAATTACACCCTTTGTATATTTACTGCATAGCCTTGGTGAGGAAAGTTAAATAGTAAACTGTGGCGCCAGATAATGTTTATTTCTTAAAAAATCTTTTTTTATATATATACATATAAGTCATTTTCATTTTTATTTATTCCAGTTTATGTTTAGAGTCAGGTAAAGGCCCGGGTTCGATATCACTGATAATTAGAAATGTCCAATACATACAGTGTATACATATATAAATATATACGCGTCGTATAATTTTTGCCTGATCACGGTTTAATTAAATAAATGCGATATTTATTGGAAACAAAAAAATTTTATACAAAATTAACCATAAACGTTATACATAAATTAAGCAAGAGAGACGAATCTTTTAATAGAGTTAGAGATGACCCATCGTTCGACGATCTAAAAAATTAAGAAAAAATGGTCACGTAATTAGTTTAATAACGAATTCGATTTTATGGTTAAAGATACTTACGTCTTGCAAATTTGTCCATATTCGAGCACTGGCACGACAGTAATATTATACTCTGGAACGAAACATGTCATACATTTTGCTAACTCGTTGTAAAATCTAGCAGTACACATACAAGGCAATAAATTTGGATCTAAAATATTTTTAAATAACTAAATTAAGCGAAATTTTTTTTTTTTTTAAAAAAAAAAAAATAAAGAAATTAGAAATAAAAGCGTTTTTGTACTTGCCGTCAGGTTTATAGGTTCCATTTGTTACTTTAGATGGTGGGTATAAAATTCCGTTACAAGGCTTCAATAGATTATTTATCGCCGAACAAGGATCATTATCAGTATTACAAGATGGATCTTTTACAATGGGTGGGGTACTGTACATACAAGTAAAATATAAACAAGGTTATCAAAGAAAAATAAATAATTTTTTTTTTTTTTTTGAGACAGAAATGATCTGTTATACATACGGTGTTGGTGGTTTTTCGGAGGGTGATTTTGTAGGTGTTGAAATTGATGTAGTTGTTGACGACGTAGATGTTGACGACGTTGATTTTGGTATTTGTTGCGGTTCGTCACTATCAAAAAAAATATATATATACAGTGTATATATATGAAATACATATAGCATATTTAAGTATAAGCGAAAAAGATTTCAATACTTACGAAAATACTTCAAAATTAAGGCCTGCTTCAATACAAGTCGCTTTATAATCATCAAGAGTTTCCATGGTAATATCATTTCCCGGTTTCATGAAACACGTTGTGCATCTATAAAATAACGAGTAGAGTTCGGCGTTGCAAGCACAAGGGAATATACTAATATCTAAATAAAAGAAAAATTCACTTTAAAAAAAAAAAAAACAACAAAGTGATACAAATTGTAAAAAGATGAATTCGTTATTACTTACCACTAGAAGCAAGTTTATATATAGATGAAATTCCACCATTCAATTCTTCAGGAGTTGGTGAAGGAAAGTATCCACCACATGGACTTAACGTGGAGTTTACCAATTTACATGGATCCTTTACAGTCCCACAATACTTGTCAACTTTCCTTGGTTTCGGCGCTTTTGGTTGTTGCCTAAAAATGTACAATCATACATTCATACGTGTTATGAATTGGTTATTTGAGAAATTAACTTACAATTCAATGGCAAATCCTGCATCGGCACAAGCGTTCGCAAAATCCTGAAAAGGTTCCACGGTAATACTGGTTCCAGGACCTTGGAAACATGTAGTGCAGTTGACTACTAAATTATAGAATTTAACACTACAAGAGCAATAATATATAGTATTTAAATCAGGTTCTAAATAAATTTTTTTAAAAATTTTTAATTAAAATAAAATTTAATTAATAAATGAATGAATGAATGAATTTTATCTTTTATTTGTTATAGAAGTGTGAAAAATATTTGTTATTTGTTATTTACCATCCTTGCTAAACTTATATTGAAATTGAACAGCACCACTCAATGCTTCAGGAGGTATTGTTATAAGTTTCCCATTACATGGATGTAATATTGAATTTGCTAATACACATGGATCGTTTACGCTATCGCAATTGGGATCTTTTTGACCATAAATATTGGCCAAAAAGAATTGCATCATCAATTGTAATAAAATTAATGATTTCATTCTTCTCCAAAAGGGAATTGTTTTTAATTCAATGTACAGATAAAAAGTTCGTATATAAAGTATAGATAACAAAAAATCGTGCGCGCGTTATATATGCTTTTCATAGCGTAAATAAATCAGTCGACAACTTTTTTTAAGTTCAACGGAGATCGAACTCCGAATGCATATCATGAATATCATGATTAACACTCTAATGTGCTAGTAACACCATATCATAAAAATTAACAGGTCAGGTGATTATTTTAAAATTGGGATTCGAATTTCAAATGAAAGACGGTTATGTAAACGGGAAGAATGTACAGAGATAAATAAAAAAAACATGGTGCGACTGAAATGCCTACATATACATATATTAGTATTATTATGTTATTTTTACAATGGAATATGTCAATTGTTTACTATGTGTAACAAAATAAAAATTAGCCATTTTACTCAATCGCCGCATGAAGTGCAAAAAGAAGGCAGGGCAGGATCTATCAAATTCTAAATCACGTGAAGCATTACTGTGTCCAACCTTTAGGTTAGGAAAATTAGCGGCATTATAAATAAGAGCAAAAATTTGCCTTTAATTTTTTTTAAAGGATCAAACTATTTTTTTATTAATACTTCAAACAATTTGATTGAAATTAATTTTCTCATTAAAAACATAATATGAATCCAACACGTTCACAAATTCAAGCTTCTAATTCAGAGAATTTTTCACCTTCTGTTAGTCTTACTTGTTATGCGATTTCTCAGGATAACAACATCCTTACCGTCCCGTCTCAACCAAACCTTGAACTAGTAATCGAAAATTCAAACAATAGTCACGTAATTCAATCGTCCGTTAACAACAGTACGCCCATACAAACTGATCCTTTTGGAAATCCTCAAATTCCAATCCAACCGGTTCAATTCAATACCTTTTTTTTTCGACCACCAAATGATTATTATCAGTACCATGTTAATTGTGAAAAAATCTCCATTGATCTCATTTTACAATTATTAAATAAGCGTAAAGAAAATATAATGCAATTAAAAGAAAATAAATATATTTTCTTTTATCAACAACGAAGTAATAATCAATTTTATCAATTTTATCAAATATCCTGTGAAATTGTTTCCCCTTCTTTTATTAATGATTGGTTGAATAAAAATATTTATGGCATTGAATTTGAACAGAATATGGTACAAGAACAGTTTGTATTTACATTGGATCAAGAAAAACATCTCGAAATTCACTTGTCACAATATTTAAATAATCACTTCTTAAACTAAACTGTTTTTAATTTTTATTTATTAGTTATTTTTTAAAGAATAAATTTTTTAAAATTTTTAAGAATTTTATATTGTTATCTAAAAGAAATTTTCAATTTTGAATATAAACTTATCGTAATTAGTCCGGAGCGAAGCGAAGGACTTTCATATACTAGCCACATGTTACACGAGGTGTCCCGTTGTCCGCCCGCTCAATAATTGCGTCGATACTGATTGGCTTTTGCAATAATTTTTTTTAGTTAATATCGTTCCGGACTTAACAATGGTTTCCGAAACCATTCCCTAGTATTAAACATACGGTAACTTACTACCGATATATCAAAGCATGTATGTATTCTTAAGATTAATTTTCAATTTAAGATGTTGCACAATCGCTTAAACTGTTAACCATTCGTAGTAAAAAATCACGATATAATCTTGCATTTTTATACACTTTTTTTTTTTCAAGACTGGGAAAAGCGAATATATTAATTATTGCATTCTTGTCTGTTTTTATTAAGAGTAACTAGCTAATTCTTCTTTTTTTCTAGTACCACGTTTTAATATAATTCGTTTATTAACCAAATCTACCTAACACGCAATATATTATTTATTATGCATGGATATTTTTTTTTTTTTAAAATAAAATTATACATTTTATTCATTTTGTCATTAATTAATGATTCAGTGAGAAATGCTAATGTTTTAAGCCAAGCCTAACTTTTCGCTTAAAGCCAAAACTTGAAATGATAAAAAAATTAATTAAATTTATTTATCATGAATTATTTATATTGTAATTAACAAATTATTTTATGGACTTTTTAAATAAATAAATTTTATTTTTTTTTTAATTAGTATCAGAGAATTTAGTATAATTAAGTTATCAGAGTTTTGCGTCAGTTGCATAGTTTATGATTAAATAACAAATCTTATTTAATCATTTCTTACAGAATAAAAAAATTTTTTAATCATATTCATTCTAATAACCAAAAAAAAAACCCCCAAATTTTTTTCTGCTCTATTTTTACTTCATAACTCCTTTCAAATGATTTATAAAGTTACACAAAAGAACAAACAGTATAAATAACAAAAAGAAATACTAACCAAATATTATTGCAATAATTTTTTTTTTGAATAAAAAAAAATGATGAATAATATTTTATTTACATGAAATCTTCTTACATTATTCTTTAATTAATTTAAATGTGACAGATAGGTTGAAATTAAATAATGCAATATTTATTATAAAAAGAGTAAGTAAACTATATATCATATGATTGATGTGATAATGTATTTTAAAACCGCTAATTTGTAAGATTGTGAAGAAAGTATCATGTTAACTGAATTATATTGAAAATTTGTGATATTTAGAACTTAATACACATTAAGTCAAGCATAAAGATATGAAATATAACAGAAAAGATAAAGTTTTGAAAATAAAGAATTATTTTTGTTTGTCCTTATTTATAAAAAAAATTCAAAATTTAAAGTAATAAAAGAAATAACGCATATATGACTTATAGTGGTGACAAATAGATTTTGAATTACTGAAAAATTCTGTCTCATAATACTTGGTAAAAATGAAACGCAGAGGGAAGTGACACTGGTGACAAATTATATCACGTGAAATTTCATGACATTTTTTGATATATACGCAGGAGAAGTTAAAACGGATAATAATTCAAGCATTTATAAGTATAAAGTATAAACCTAAGCTTTTCAGGTGATATTATATATATAAATTGTTTGTTCTTAAGAATATTGTATTTTCCTTAGTAAGATATCATACTATATTGTATCTTTTTTCTTATTAAGTTAATCCTTCATAATAGGTGTGACTAATTAAGAAAAAGTACAGGTATTAAATTCAAACTAAAAAAAAATTGAAAGGTTTTTTATAGGCAATTATATTTTCATATTTAATGTAGTAATAATTTAGTATTGTAACAGGATTGGATTGACGGACGTGACGCAGAAGGTTGCAGATCTAAATGTCAGATATATCAGACATAATTGATATATTTGATATATTTGATATA